GGCGGCTGTTTCGTGGGTCGGGTGTAGTTGGCTAGAGGGATCCGAACCGAAGGAGGATTAGTACACGACAAAGTTTATAAAAGTGTACTCACTCCATGGGAAACCCCCAGCAACTAACCTAAAGCTGGCCTCCCCTTAAGGCTCGTTCCTTCGGAATCCCTTTCCGAGCCCTCCCGCAAACGTGACAAACGCACCTATCGTATGAACGAAGCTTTTCGGGTTAAGAAACGCGATATTGTTCGTAGCTTGGGACGAAATGAATTAATACGTGTACAACAGAAATTGTGATCGTATTTTGATGAACTTCACTTTGGTGAAAATTGTGGTGAACTCATTTATGAAATGGACAAACGTGTCACGGACCGCGGATATCAATGAAATTTTGAGGCGTTTGATGAATTAACGATACCAATGATATCGGTGAAAATCGGTGAGTTAAGTTTGATGAATTAACAGACGTAGACACGGTATCAGTAAAATTCGTTTATAAAATAATAATCATAAGTCTAGTACTATATAGTAAAAAATAATGAAGTAACGTATTACTAGAGTACAAAGTATAATAATAATCGCAAGTTTAATAAACAACAGTTTAATAAATTAATATTGATAAGTGTATCAGATTTTTAAACGATCGAATTACAGACACTATGATTCCTTTACTTAACTAATATGTTGAGGCTTTGTTCCGATAATTGATTACTATATTACCGACTGATATTTGATAAATGAAATTTCGATGAACGATACAATCTACTATATATTACATATATAAGTACGTTACTCCAATAGATTTATCTGATCAAAGAAAGGTTAACCATACACAAGAACAACCGCGTGCAGAAAGAAAAAGTCCACTAATCGAATGACACGATCTTCCATTTGTATTTTACATTCTAAATTGCACGTAAGCTCTGCGAAAGTCTAACGGTGTGGAACGAGCGTTAACTAGGAAGAAAACCAACTCAATGGCTCAGAGGGAACCCATTACGCGTATCGCGACATCTGATTATTAGGATTATGATTCTTTATCGCCAAGGGGCTAAGTCACCGTGACGCGCGCAATTAATCTCATCTCGGCCGCCGTAAAAAAGAATTATTCAGCGAAAAAGTTGTTAAAATCAACATCGCGCTGGGAGCGAAAGGGCCGAAGTAGCAGACGGGTCTCATCCTAAGCGATTGGTACTTCTGGACTACATAGAGCGTACTGGAAACCTGTAATTGTCTGGTCACGCGAGGTCACCCTGAGAACACGAACACGATTATACGTGACGTGCACCATACCAGCCATTAAGTTACAGCCAGCACACAACAGATGGTACAGGTTGCTTGAGCATGCCCCCGATGCAATTTCGTGACAGCGGTAAGAATCGAGGAGGGGAGAATATACGAAGGAAAAAAAAAAATTTCTCAAAGTTCTCTGAACATTAGTTTCGCCATGTGACGTGCTCTTGCCGAACGATAATCGTCCGTTTGATGGTGAATTAATTTCTTGAAGGAAATATGTGTTTTGGGTTTATTGTTTCACTGGCCGTGGTTATTTATTTTATTGGCCATTGATGGGCATAAAATTGAAATTTTATTTAATTAATTATTGTTAACAAACTCTGCGGCTGTTAATGCAAATTTATATTTCTGTCAATAAAATTAAACAAAAAATTATAGAAAGTTTCAGACATTTCGTGTACGTGCTCTGGCAGTCCAAAATTTCCTACTTGTGAAATTTAAAATTACAAGGAAGCACAAAATGCACATAATATTTAAAAGTAAATAAAATACCTGAAACATAACACTCTATAGTTGTAATATCCAGTGAGTGAAGTAAATCTCTACACCAGGTTCCATTTCTCGTTTAAACATCTACAGTCTAGTCAATTATCGACATATGTATATAGTTCGATAGTACGATAGGTTTATCGTACTATCGAACAAAGTTGTTCTGCGTAGGAGATTGACGCTTTCATTTTACGATGATCAACAATAACGCGAGCTTGCTTGTCTCTCGTTTCATGGGTAAGTTTTGGGTCGTACGTACATACGGTGGTGCTAATCCTCGAGGTTTAGATGCGGGACAGAGAAATCCCGGTGGTTATTCGCAAATGCGTAGCTCGCGCGATAAGATCCAAGGTACCACAGTTGGCCACAGCCTGTCCGTTTTCATTTAAAGTTTCCCGTTGAAATTTTCAAGCGTCATCTTCACTTTAAACTATCTTCAATTATCCCCCAAAACTCGCCATTGCTTATTAATATTAACCGAATTTATTTATTTATTATTAAACCTTCTGGAAATATTTTATATTACATCTACATTGTAACGTGAAGAAAATATTATTAATATCAAGTAAACTTGTTTATTATCCTTATATCCTAGGAATATTTTATGTTTATTAGATATGTTAGTAGAGTATATTTATATTCATTACGTTTATGTTTTTATTCCCGGCGTAAGAAAAAGGAGCTTAGACATAGAAATATTTGCGCATGGTTTCTATACGTTCTTGCTAAACCTGGAAGGCAGAATAATTAGAGGAGCTTAAAATACATCGGGATCGAGCAATAAACGTTGGTTTATTTGCTTATAGGTTCAACGCTCTGAGCAAGGAATATGAAATATACATGAATATCGGCAAACGGGGAAATAAAACGTATTCTGTAGTAGTGTGCCGGATGAAAGTACACCGCGATGTCCGACATAGTTGTCATCTATTCGATGGTTAATTTCCATTGAATTCGCCATCGTGAATGTTCCCGAAGAATATCGGCCGTCGAGTTTCTTACTCTTTCTCGTGTTTACCCGTCGATACATTTATTAAGAATTCTATTTTCGACTGTTATTACGTATTTTTAATATTTTCACGTATTTCAGATTTATTTGGATCACGTTGTATTATAATATACCTTCTATAAGAGATTAATTTATATTCTTTTTGTGCATTGCAGTAAGAATTGTCAATAAAATTTATTGTGTAAAGTATACAATATACAGTATAGTTGCAAAAAATTCTCACACATCATGCATACGTCATATTTAACATGACGTATGCATATTAATTAACCAAATCTAAGTGTATTAAATCTCTTCTCTAACGATACAAAAATTTCATATCATGAAAATGGGATGTGAATTGTCAGATTGTAAATTCAGTTTCAGTATTTTGACACGTAATGCTAATGCACATAATGCTAATGCACATAATATAAATAATCTAATTCAATCTAAATCATCATTCTCCTTTGTGATCCAATGATATCAATCGAGAACTAGATGAATTATTGTCATCAGGTGGTACTAGCACTACGTAACAATATTTTTAAAAATACGACACGAAGAGAGATCTTCAACATCGCCAGCTAATAATGATAGTGAGATTAAAACGAAACATTCATTTCGTCAACGAACAGCAAATAACATGCATTCGTCGGCACAACACAATAAGAATCATCGTGAAACCGGTGCCGAGGGAGATTTTCTCTATTACAAAAAGACTGCGTCCTGTCAACACACCGGTGTGTTCTCCCCCCGTTAAAATATTGATTCTCTTGAGGGGGTTGGTTCGATTGCCAAAGCGAAAGTGAACGTTCGACCGGCGAAGAGCGAGTCGAACGGCCGCGCGTTACAAAAACCAACCGCAGTAACAATACTTTACCGCGTATATCGGATCGCGAGGCTGTCACGGTTCGGCCGTCATTCCGCTCGACATTCCATACCGTATGGACACGTAATTTATCCGCAATCAAACGTACTTGTCGCGGTCATTAAATTCAGCTGGGAAAACGATGGGCCGATGGTACCGATGCACCGTGTTGTGTTCAGTTTGTTCGATATTACAATTACTCGGCCCGTAATCGATATTAATTAAAGAGCCACAATACAATCGATTCGAAATGGCCGAGTATATCGGAACGACACGCTCTATCGTTGACAGCCGTGCATCAACCGTGCGACACAATTATGCCGGAAACAATCGCTCGAGGTTTTTAGACTGTAAACTCGATCGTTCCCCATCAATGCGATCGACATTTTAGCTCATTTGCAGAGACATTGGCCGTGTATTAATGATCTTTGACTGTGAAAGCACAGATAGACATTTGTTCAGGTATGAGAGAAGTACTAGTAGTGGACGCATGAAAAATTTAGCCGACAAAATGACATTAAAAGAAAGTGAAGACGCAGATATATTATTCGGTTTTGGCTAGATTTTCCACTCAGAAAATTACAATGCTAAATGCATTAGCCAGATCTTTCTCAGAAAATTCAATTTAATGAAGACCTTTCACATAACGAAGGAAAATTACATGCTACGCTATCTGAGATGTATACTCTCTATAATCATTTTTTCCATCCCTTGACTACATACTAGATTTTGATCATCGTCGATCAACTCTATAGCCTGCATAAAAAATTTTACTGTTCAAAATTTAATATCCTACATTTTCGTATATTAATTTTTGAACGTTTTATAATGATATACTTACATGCACACTAGCGGTCAGGTGAAATTCAAATGAATTCGCAAGAATTCAATTTTCTTTATCAAATTGTTTCTCCACGTGTCTGGAAATTATTACATTAAATTGTTTTTTAATTAAATGTGTTAGCTTCCTGAATTATTGTAGTACGTATAATAATTAAAAAAGAAAACATATTTTGACTTGGATGTTAATAATGTACTCGCCGCGCGCTGTTGACAAGCCATATGAAGTCTGACCATTCGCTATGGTTTGATTTGTTACAGAGGGCAACAAGTGCCCGACCCCAGGCTGCACGGGGCAGGGTCACGTGACCGGACTCTACTCTCACCACCGCAGGTAAGCAATTATCGGTAATTAACCTATGCTCTGCACTTTACCCTGGTCGATTAGACACTTACGCGCTACGACAGAAAGAGCAAGTGAAATAGGACTGACACTAGCAGACTCAGTCGACATATTATCCGGTCGTCATTGAACACAGAATATGATAATATGTCACCTTTGCGTTTCATATCTGTAGGCAAAGTTCTTTTCGAAATTCTCCACATTGGGCAAATTGAAACTCTGATTTTTTGATGAAGTTCTCAAGGGCATACATCGTGTAACGTAACTGCAATATACCTTTACACAAGCATAGCTTTTGTAAAAAAAATTTGATTAATGAATTATTGTAGGCTGAATCAAATTATCTCGTTCATTCAAATTTTATAGTTTTTTTTTTTATAGTGCACAACGGAACGCACATAAACTGGAAAAAATATATAAAGTATCCAGTTTTATCTTTTTAATTATATTCCTAAAAGTATGAATTGACGTAAAAGTTAATGATAGTATTCATGCAGTGTTAATAATCTACGCGCAATTTGAAATAAAAATCACAGTGAAACGTGAAGAATCAAATGACAATCTCAGATTCGTCCTTCGTATTTCCCCAATTCACTTAAAACTACATATTTGTATTATACCACCGTGCTTCATAATTCGCTATTGTGGTTTCAGCCTATCCGGTTGTCCACGAAAGGATAAACTAACGCCAGAGAGTAAGTAGTCGCCGATTACGGCAGCATTATTCTTACTTCTCTTATCGTAGTTACATAGATGCATCTTCTTTTTGCGAGACTGCCTTTTTCACGCGACCGCCGAGGCAAAGGAGTAGCGAGTGTAACGATCGTTAACGGCCGTACTTATTTTTCCCAATAGCGGTAGTACGTTTCTCTCAGATCGATCCGACGATCTTTAATACGACACGATCGAATCTATCACTGTTCGAACCAAGTTTCGCGACTCGACGCATTTTTTTCGTTTCAACCTCGCGAGAAATTCGTTCGATCGAAGTAAAAAGTCTACGCGCGACACACAATGCCATTTATTATTCATTGAAAGGAATAAACGGCGGGAAAAGAATAATAACTCAATCTCTCCGTTTCGAACGATTAGACGAAAGTGTACGGGCTCGTTGAAACCCGTGCCCGTCTTATATGTGTTTATATGTGTCTGTCTGTTTATATTCTTTGTGCTTTTTCGTTTGCGGGGTAGAGAGCTTTATTTATTGCGTTTCACTTCCGTTTTAATTTTTACCGTTCTGTTTGTAGTTTTAATTATAGTAGAGAATTTCTCACCACACATGAACTTGGTTATGTTGGCCGTACCAACGAACTATCTGGAGAACTCGAGACACGGGGGCGGTGCAAGGCTAGCTGGTATGCGTGTGCAAACACGCCGGATCCGAACGGAGGATCTTGTGCGATTGAGTATAATTGAGAAACGGCGATCGACACATTCTTGTAACACGGTTCACCAGACAAGCCATCAGACTTGTCGACCGATCCCATAAGACACGCGACAAGTTTCATCCTGTTAAGCGACGAAAGAACATTGATTCGTCGTAGATCGGCAAACTTGTTATCATCTCACGAAGAATGTTTATCACTTCTGTATTAACTTCGCATTTCGATTGAAACGAATTTCATTACGTAAATTTTCATTGAGGAAGCTTGAAGTTGACATTTGAAGTTGCATTTTTAGATATACATTTCTTGAACATTCATGTTTCGTCTTCAAGAATTATCAGACGTCGATTAATTTAGCGAATGAATTTTTCCTGCGATCATTTCAAACGCATCTCACGGTGCACGATGTCTGTCACACAAGAGACCAATTATCCCCCGATACGAAACACACGACCACGTGATCCATCGATCTACACACGAATCGCAAGTTGTTGTCTTTTATAATTTTGTCACTCGATTATGTCTTTACTTGAGTTTCTCTCTACCCGCTCGGTATACTTAATTGTACTATTACACATTTGATTTATTTCATCCCGTGACGTTGTGTACCCTATCTCTCTCTCTCTCTCTCTCTCTCTCTCTCTCATTATTTTTGTTCCTCTGATTTTTGTTCTCTCCTCTGTCTTTCTCTGTATACTATACACAACATCAACGCCGTGTGTAGCGATCGATTTAAAACCGACGCGATCGAAATGTATCGGGAAAAGGAAACAAAAAAAAAAAACAACGAACCGTGTTGCCGACAAATATAATGATTATACTCAACGCATAAGAAAGAATCGAGCTGAAGTTCACGAGTTGGTTCGATTCTACCGATCGTATCTTGGTGTGCGTGTATGCGTATGTGTGGTCTAGCAATTGATGCGCGTGTAACTCGATCGGAACATGTTAAGAAAAAAAAAAATTGTCGAGCGGAAAATGGCAGCGTTCTATAACCACGCCACGTGTCTCTGGGTTCCCTACAGTTCTGGCGATGCATGAGACTATTTTGAAATGCCCGACACCTGGTTGCAACGGCCGTGGCCATGTCAGCTCGAATCGGAACACGCACAGGAGCCTGTCCGGATGTCCCATTGCTGCGGCCAATAAGCAGGCTGCACGCGAGGCACGACACAAGGCTCAAGGTAAGGCGGCGCAGCGACTCTACAACGTGCCTAGAATTCGCTCCAGGGGGAGAAAATCCACGGGTCGAGCCGCCCCCCCCCCCATGAAAATCGGATCAGGGCTTAGAAGCTTCGAGACCGTTGCGAAACGAATCTCTCCAATCGTTTCTCGATAGTTCTCGAGGGGTCCATTTCTGTGTTTCCTTCGAGGTTGCATAGCGTTGTTTTATCAAGGATTGTTGTCGATGAATAGTTTCATTATTCGAGACTGTAAATCATTTGAATTTCTTAGATATAAAATTAGTTATCTCTACTTTTCACGAAGCTATTAACTTTCTTATTCTTTCTAATGTTTCTAACCTTATTGTTGGTATTCAATATGTTATGACAGAAATTTTATAAATTTATTTATCATGAAAAGATAGCGTGAGTAATTGCAAAGTTGGAAGAAAGTTTTAGCAAAAAATGCTTGTGCAGTGTTGGTTCTGAGCATAATCTGTATAATGATTTTTGACACTCTCATATAACACTTTCACTCGGCATGTTACTTGCAAACTTTCGTTTAAACATTTCATTTCAATCTTCCGTTCATAGCGTATTAATTGAAAAGTAAGCATGGCCAAGCAAAGATATCAGTCAACTTTCTCCGTTCACGATGTAACCAACCAGTCAAAAGTGCAATACATGGTAATTATTATATTTTCACGACAGTGTCCGGAATACCTCCAGAATACATCAGCACGAACCTGTTGCCACCGTCGATGGATAGCAAGAGCTATTCCCAGTACGGGTCCACGGCGCAGGACACGAAACCGGTGTTAAGCAGCCTGACCTACGACTACTACTCTACAACGAAGAGCACGGGGATCAACGTAAAACCTCCGAAAACACCGGAGGAGAATCCCTCGTCCCGTACGACCAAGGTGGTCCCTAAAACCGAGAATATGACGCCAAGCGGCAGTTGCTGCAACACTCTGCCAACAAGAGGTCAAAACACCACCGATTTGCTGGTACCGAAAACGGAAGAGACTGCCTCCTGTCGAGTTAACTCGCCGCTACCGCCTCCACCACCCACTGTACGACCAACCTACGACTCCTACATGAATCAAGACTCGAACTCTTCGTCCATGTCATCAATGGACGCGATGGGATCCAGGGGATCCATCGGCGCGACGATACATCATCCAAGTCAGCATCCGACGCATCACGTGTTGCCTATGCAGCCAACGGTCGCTTATCCGATGCCAATGGTCGAGGACACTAGGATGAGCCATCAGATGTCGCAGAGATCTCCGTACGAGCCATCAGCCATGATGGCCGCAGCGGCGGCGGCTGCTGCTGCGGCCACCACCAGCGAGGAACTTTATCATCACAGATCGGCGGAACACGCGAGAGCCTACATGCACCCTGGAGCAAGTAACATAGCCAGACCAGTTGTCACTTATTCCAACGAGATCGCAAACGCGAGGGGATATGAGAACGCGGTAGCCAGTGCGGCGAATCATCGACCGTACGATCCTGGCACTACGTCAGCTTACGAAAGATATGACACGCAGAGTTGTGCGCCGATTCAGTCTCAGCAGCAACAACAGCAGCAACAACAACAACAGCAGCAGCAGCAGCAACAGTTGCATTCAAGGACGAATATGTATTACCTGGGGCAAACTGGGATGACGCCCGAGGAGCAGGAACGGGTGTACCATCAGGAGGCTGCGGCCGCTGCGCAGCAACATCAGATGGCGATGGCCGCTGCTACGGCTGCTGGGATGATGAAGACTGAGGATGGTGTGTTTTGTTGTTTATTATGATTTATAACAGGATATATGACTTATTACATTATATATTATAAGAAGATTTAGAATTTATAATTAGATTATTATAACAATCTTTAACAGTTGGTCTATAATGTGAGCAATTTTTTATTGAATTGAAATTAATAGTAGTGGTTGTTTAATTTTATTAAAGTTTCCAAGTAACGATAAAAGTTATTTACGAAGAAGTGCTTCATAACTGTCTTGATTATTTTTATCGTTACAGTAAAATGCGTCACAGTAGCGCAAGTTCAGCAAATGCAGAAGCCTGGTGGCCCTCCAACCTCTCCAGGTGGCTCAGTGATGGACTTGTCAACCTCTAGCGTCACATCAACAAGCCCACAGGTAGAAACGTTTATCTAAACGTTAGGAAACCTCAGTCATAATTTGATAAATTCTTTAAAAAAATGCGATGATATTCATTGCAGGCACCGCCTTATGGTTCCAACAGTCTTAGCCCTCAGTATGGCGGTGGTCAAACAGTAGGTGGCAGCCCTCAGGCTGCAGCAAGCCCGCACTTAACTGCAAGTCCTCAGGTTCCCAGTCCCCAAGGACAGACCCTCGATCTCAGCGTCAATAGGCTCCACAGGTAATTATCGTTGACTTTAGTTCTTTAAATCGATCTTGAAATTGAAGTTAATCTTAACTGTGAATAAGGATCTATAGCACATTTTGGTCAAAATTGAATTAATAATAAAGAATAGATCGCTGTCGATCGTCTTAGTACACGTAAAATGATGTAATTTTGAACATAAGAAAAGGTGTTTGAAACCTTATGAGAAAAAAGATTTAAAGCACAGTTTGAAAGTTTAAATGTTCCGCGACTTATCTCCGCTGAAATAGCATCGCATGAAATAAGGATCTACAATTCACGAGAAATTCATCACAACCTAATAGAAAAAAAGTGCAAAAAAGTAAAATACATAAATAAAATGTAAAAATTCCATTTTCCCGAAAATGCTGCACAATTATTTTAATCCGACGAATGCCTTCCTTCTAACGCAACGAGAATGAAACGAAAGGGAGAGATATTAAATCGTACATCATCTTCATCTGATTATAGCGGCGCGCCAAGTCCCCAATATCCGACCGGCCACGGAGAAGCTGTGGCGGTTCCCGTTGGACCTGGTTTCCCAGCGCCCAGACCAATCGAGGAACAAACCGAGCCTGTGGACTTCTCGACGGCAAACGAGCCGGTCAATTTCAGCGGGGGTCCTGGAATCAGGCCTGTACCAGGTTTCCCGCCACCCGGTGTGCACGTCACGGCGTACAGTCGCGAAAGCACCCCCGACAGCGGGGGTTCCCACTACATGGATGCTTACCGCGATCCCACTGGTGAGCTATCACTGTTTATCACTTAACTTGTCAGACAGTTGGTCATCGATCATCCGAAAACGCTTTATGACCCGCTTTACGACAAGTCGATTTTATCCTCCGTCTCTATTTCATCTGTCGTTAATGGTCGTTTTGATAATAATTGAAGTTTTAGAAATTGGATTTTCGCTGATGGCTCGATCAATTCATTTTTTAGATGTTAGTTCTTTATTTTTCTTTCCTGAAAGTTTTTAAGAAGGGATTATGATGTAATTCTGTTAATTTTTAATTTTACCTATTGTCAAAGATAAGTAACAAATTTTGTAATGTTTTTAAGAAGAAATTTGACAATTTTTGACTGATTCTTTAAATATTAAAAATAATACTTGGAAGCTTCGGACCATCGCTATTTCACATCACACACTAAAAAACTCGAACCACGGCGCGATCGATTGAAAAGAAAATCTAATTGGAGTCGTGCCTGGAAGTTCGCCCGCCCGTGAATACGCAGCGTCGTATAGCAACGGAAGCCGTTACGGTAACCAGAGACAAATTATCCAGAACAAGTACCGCGACGTATACACGACAACACCAACTGGATGGTCCAACTTAGACATTTTCCTCTTTGGCTTTCTAAATTTCGACAAGCATATACTTGAAATATACACGACGCACGTCAGCTTGACGCTTCATCGGCCACGTGTAACGGGCGAGGGATGCCGGGGGTTGCAGCGAGGAGATCCATGGACGAGGGATACGGAAAAGAACAAAGAGCTCGACGCCCTCGGGGGGTCGGTTGGAAGAGGAGCGGAACGAGAGAGCGATACGCGGTTACAACCGTCGAATAAAAATTCGCCAGAACAGTACATGACTGCCATAATAGGCACCTATGGCCCCGACTCTCATTTTCCTCGGTCTCTCTGTGCCTTGGCATTCCAAACCTACAGCAGCCCATTCTCCTCGTCCCTGTCGTCGTTTCTCCTATACACACACTCTCTTTCGCTCTCTCTCTCTCTCTTTCTCTCACTCTCTTTTTCGCTCTGGTATACTCCATCCTTTTCTTCTTTCTCTCATCCTCTCTCGCCGTGGCGTGGATGTGCACCAAACCGGCACCCTTCCTACCGGACCCACCTCCCTGTGGCGGTACACGACCATTGTTAATTATCAATATTTCGCGTACACGTAGCCGGCAAAAGTCCGGCACGGCCAATATTGTGCGGACTCTGACGCTGGGGAGTAGTTATTGAAATTGAAACATTCGAGCACACAGCCGGCATGTCGGGTTCGTTCGTTCGTTCGTTCGGCGTCGTCGTGTTCGCGCGACGTCCACCGTCGCCCGTACACCAGCTCTCCTCGTCCGTCGGCTATTTGCACTGCAGACGAAATGAATTCTTGCCGGTAAATAAACGCGTAGATTTTACAACGGTTAATCAAGCGACGCGTCGGTTTCGACCTTTGCGCCACCCGAACCTTTGTCCAGCCCGTTTTCGATTGCTTCTTCCTTTTTTCTGCTCCTATTTCTTTCTTTCTTTTTTCGTCGTATTCCCTCTTCTTTCCTTTTGGTTTCTCTTCTTTCCCGTTTCTCATTGCTGCACTGCAATCGTGAGTTTCTTCCATCCGCCGTGAGCGAAAGAAAGGCTTCTTCGCTTAATTCGTTATTGGATCTCGTTGATGGCCAAGAGATTACGCTGGATACTTTCATAAAATTGAAACTCGCTGTACCCTTGCTCGCCAAACGCGTAGGGTTGCATTCGCGCACGTGTACATCCGACACTCGCGTCGATCCAGCTTTCAGCCCACTCCGCGTTTCTTTGTTCTACGTTTTCGCAGAATATCCATTGATATAATAGATATTTGAACGACAAGTTTAACAAGTATTCGAGTGATTTTGATAAAACATTGCCAAGTTTCAATATATGTATATGTATCGAAAAGTGAATAAAGGATGGTAAATATGTGGAAAACTAATTGAATATCAATTTCGTGTTCACAGTAGGATTTTTCTATTGCGAAAATATTTTATTATCATGAATGACACTGGAATACTACAGAGATATTTGTATCTATCAAATTTCATATTTATCAAATTATTTTATCAAATAGTTTATCAAATTTTTCATCATCAACATCACTATTAATTCCATTAATATTGATCTTTTGAAAATATTTTAATATACAATTTCCGATATGTCTATGAAATTTTGTTACAATTTTTATTTAATAAAATTACAGTGTAAATATTTTTATTTCTCAGGTTACGGACCGATGAGCCCACACCCAGGATACGGAATGACAGGCGTTCAACCGGAATATCCTGGGAACACGTACACTCCTTACCCCACTGCAGGCTATAATTGCGGTGGAACTTATCCCGGAGGTCCCGTGACTTCCGGTTACCAAATCCCAGCTGGCTATACGCCGACACCCTGTTATAGTATGCCACCTCCGCAGCACACAGTCGGACCTCTCGATAAACCAACGGGTAAAGACGATAGGTAAGGAACTCGACAATCTATTTTCCTTTAAGCATAATTCCGCGATCGTGAGAAGACACATGACGTTTCTGGTTCATCGGAAACACAATTCAGAGATCATTCAATATGGAAACATTAGTAGCGTAGTCTGATTAATTACCTTACTCTTGTAAAATTAAAATTAAAATAGGGATACAACTGAGGAGTATATATGAAGGTCAATGAAATTAGTAGAAAACTCTATAATTTGTATATTTTAATCTTAATTTTTAGATGATTTTTAAGTTCTATTCTAATTGGCTTTGCTTATAAATTTTAAAGACAATAAAATCAGCATATTGGAGAAATTATAAAATCAATAAGGTGAACATTTGAAATTAACGAAATTCTACGATTTCTAACTTTAGCTTTCACAAATTTCCAATTTCTATTCTATTCTATTTGATTTTCACTTTCGTACTTTGAAAATTTATTCATCTTCCCCCATTATTATAACTAAATTAAACTCCGAGCAATTCTACGAATCAGTCTACACGCGATATGAGAATCAATTACTCAAAAAGCTCGCCCTATCCGTGATCGTCGTGAAAGTAGAACGGTCTCGTTCAGTAGAACGAGACGGTGCGTGGCCAGACGTGCAACGAACAAACAGAAACGTTCCATTCCGATGGTATCAGAGTTGTCCAATGAGCCGGACGAAACGTCCACGTGTCAAATAATCGTGCATGCGAGCATCGCAGATTTTGGTACTTGCCTTGCGGAAAGGGTCGCGCGAATCTCTCTCGCGAGAATGTAGCACGCGTATATTCGCGGCTGAAAAGGCACGGGGAGGCAAGATCGGTTGGCGGCGGTTGGCGGCCAACGACGGCGCAGAGGGAGGCGGAGGTCGCGCATACCTACCTCCATTTTGTTAATTAAAGTAATTACTCTTCGTACCGAAAGTGCCAACCTTATTCTAATTGACGTAAAGCTCCGGCGGTACGGTGGAGGAGGCGCTGTTCGCCGCGTAAGGAGAGAAGGAGGTGGAACGAGAGGTTGCTGGAGAGAGTGGGAGGAAGCGGTGAGCTGCCGAGGGTGGATAAGGTTGAAAGAGGAGGTGGGGGTATAATCAGTTGCCACCGCACTGGATTATGGGGCGAGACCCGCGTCGTCCCATCGAGGTTAGACCCTTGAAATGCACCTCGGATACCTCGGGCAAAACTGGTTTCCTCTCTTTTCTAATCTCCGCCCATACACCGGAATTCCGTTAATGTCCCCGTTTAACAACGTTCGCCCAGATTCTTCGAGAATGTTTCCCGCTTACCGTGGTAACGCGTAGCTTCTTGGTACATCGTAGTAGTTGAAGGATAAAAATGGAAGAAATTGGAAAATTAAATTGAAGTCTTTGAGACTCGAGTCTTTCGAGATCGGTATATTTTCCTCCTACCACTATCAAGTAGTTGAATATTTGCAATTAAAAATTGATCATAAAGTAGAAAAAAGCACGTAGAAAAATATTGCCGTGGTGAGGACATTCGACTTTGAAGACAAATTTTAAGAAAATAATAGGATAAATG